TAGAATTTCCTTGAGTCATTTGGTTGTGTATGTTTTCCAAGGTTATACGCTATTTGGCTGAGGGAGTGAAAGTTTGTGAAAGCTGGTGTTTCACAGAAATATTCCCTTGTATTTATAAATATTTTCAGATCTCACATTTGGTTTCTTAAACATACAGATTTTTTTTAAAGGTATTTTAAAGAAGAATTTAAGATAAAGTGAAAGCTTACTGTTTGTTTTGTGGGGCTGCTTTCTCTAAGAATATTTTCTACTTTCTTGGCAACCCACCTTTTCCCTCCCAGCCTTCCATTATTTGTCCCTTTAACTTATTTTCTGATGGAGAACTTGGGTTTTGCTTAATACTGAGATCGAAGTTGAAGTATTTGCAGCGCTTCCTCTTCTGGACATTTCGCTCAGTCTCATTTTGTCTCCATATGTGTTTCAGCCCTGAATCGTGTGCAGTTACTTGGGCGAGTGGGTCAGGACCCTGTCATGAGACAGGTGGAAGGGAAAAACCCAGTCACAATATTTTCTCTAGCGACAAATGAGATGTGGAAATCCGGAGACAATGAAGCATATCAGATGGGTGAGTATAAAAGATTGGGGTTTCACTTTTATCGGTAATAAATAGTTTACTGTCAATTATTTATTTAGAGATAAGGAGATAAGCTACATTTACTTAGAAAGGATCTTTCTTTACCTTTATTCTCTTCTCTTAGGAACTGTGATGGTGATTTTGCTGGGCATTTGTTTTGTCTGCTGGCATTTGTAATCATGTTTCCTATTCTTGTGATTTAGGTGATGTCAGTCAAAAGACAACATGGCACAGAATTTCAGTATTCCGACCGGGCCTCAGAGATGTAGCGTATCAGTATGTGAAAAAGGGGTAAGTTGAGGAACTTACAGTTTGAGTGGTTCGAAAACTGATGACAGGTCTTCTCATGGAATGTGTAACTTTTTTGTTCCTGAATACTATTAATTACTCTATATTTACTCGAGGTAGTATTTGTTCAGTGCCTAATACCATATGCATGGTGTGTTGCTATGTGTGACTAATTCAACGGTTTACAAAACCTGGTTTAGTCTTCTAAGAACTTACAATTTAGGGAAAGTAGTGTTTGTACATAACGAGAAGCAGATGAGACCAGGGGGAAGGCAGAGTGTACTAGGTGCTGTGTGAACAGGTGCAGCGCAGGCTTTCATTATAGGAGTTCCCATGCTGCACAGCGGTGGTGTCCTGCCTCTTGTCCTCCACATGACATCCTTAGCAGAGGATCTGGAATGTGTCTTCCTGACACAGTGAGGCATTGTGGTCATATTCACAGCAGTTTTTTTTTTGTTGTT